TAATTTCTGAATAAATTACTAGACGTGCTATAAAAATAATAAACTCACCATGCGTCATTCTAGTTGCAAGACTATTCGTAGAACTGATACTTTGTCGCTTAGGATTCAGATTCAGCAACGAGATTCTCCAAAATTCCGTTATTCAGCTTATAGCTTGCTCGTTTGAATAACTTTCGTGAATCAGTGCATCTAACAGTGTATCGAAACATATATCAGATCCTACAAAAATGATCAGAAACGTCCAAGAAATTCCCTCCTTCGGTAACCTACCCTCAATTCATTCCCCCTTGTCCCTGGTGCGCACGAGCGAGCAGAAGGAACGTGCCGATTGACGCCAACGGGAACGTCGAACGTGGCTCGTTAACATCAAAATCACGGGACAATTCAAAGAAGTTTGTTCCTTCGTTCGCTCCGGTTTTTCGCGGTGTCAGCCAGAACGCTCGCCGTCCACTTCCTGGAGGACATTCCTCTGTACCTATATGGGATTCTATATTCCGCATGTCCCCGTGGCCAGAGGTGGATGGTGGCAATGGTCGGTACATTGGCGCAGGTGTGGCGGCACGAGTCGCACAAAGAGGGCCCTCGTAGATAGTACAACCTCTGCTCTCTCTTTCTCTCTCTCTCTCTCTCTCTCTCGCGGCGAGAGGCGCGTACTTTTTTTCCAGCTGGCTCCCTCCGGGCTGCCAGGTCGCCGGAAGAGCCGCGAGTCAGTCCAGGCCACCTGGGAGCCCTTAAGGGACTCTCGTTCTTGTATGTTGCCGCCCGGAAGAATTAATTATGCCAGCGGCCGGCCCGTTAACTCTCCGCCGGTTCGGCGAAAAAATCACGGCCGATGGAATGCGATTCGATCCGGGCGAAATGTCCCGGCCTCGATGCTCTCGATGCTCGCCGATTCGCCGCTCTCTAAAGAACGCCACACGCGCTCGTGTGTCGTGGAATTAGAGTCCCTGTCGGGTGACTTGCCTTCGTGAATTTTTCTTGCCTCGTTTGCGATGGTGTGTCGTGGCTGTGGATCGTAAACGAACGAAATTGAGGATGATTGGTTCATCCACGGTTCAAGCGTATTTCTGTTAAATTAAATATTCAAAATATGTGCTTGTATAAGCAAATGTTAAACTGTTCGTTATAAAAAGAAATGTTTCACTTTGATTCAAGGGGTGACCACAAGTCTCGTCTAGATGGACGTGCTTTCGTGGATAAAGATCAAGGTGATCTTTGTTTTCTTAACTATGAAACTATATTTTTCTTCAGATGGACATGTAGCCTGTTCCATGACGAACTCATCAACCTTTATACGTTGATATTTCAAGGTTGTTCAAGGACAAGTTACTGCCTTTCAACTGCGTTGAACATACCAAGAAATTATTGTTTCATCGTTCGACATGGTGACCTCGAGCGTCAATGCATTGATTTACTCTATCTCTAAAGGATAGTTGCGCTTTCTCCGATGTTCCAGAGTGTTTCACTATGACAGGTCGATGAATTTATCACGACCATCTGAAGAAAAACACATAGTTTCATTTTGAAAAACAGACATCACCTTGAAATCTTGGTAGCACGTCCAAGACAAGCAAAACAAGTTTCAATGAAACATTCAGTTTTATTTTTCTATAATGTATGATTTAGGAGGTAATTACTGCACATTAATTCCACAATTAGGCGTGAATTGTAGGGAATAACGATTTTTGTGTAAAGACATCATCTTGAAATCTTGGAGGCATGTCCAAGACAAGCAAAGCAAGTTTTAATGAAACATTCAGTTTTATTTTTCCATAACGTGTGTTTTAGGAGGTAATTGCTGCATATTAATTCCACAATTAGGCGTGAATTGTAGAGAATAACGATTTTTGTGTAAAAACGAATGCAGTAATAACAGCAATTGAAAAGCAATAGAAAAACATATATATTCTAACGGTGTCTCAAAGTACTACTACTTTCATCAAGATGTTGCTCTCTGGATTTGCAATTTTACCACCGGCCCCTACTCGTTCACTTCGTTTCACGCTTAATTATTTTTCAAACCTACTGCCTGACTTCGAACGCAATATTTATGCAAGCACCTACACACCTACCACCTCTATCAGGCAACAATATCGCAGGCAGCGTGCGCGAGAATAGAACGAAGAGTAGATTGTTCATCGACAGCGGTGGATAGAGGCTGGAGAGAGGACTCTCGACTCGTGGCGAGTTTATGCAACGGCGCGGCGACGCGAGCCACCGGGGCAAGCCAGAGGAGAGAATAGCCTGGACCGAAAGATCGCGATCTTCGCCTGCCGCGTATCTCACACCGGTTAGAAGTCTATTCTTCAGCAGAATGCAACGAAGATCTCCAGATAGCTTTGTGCCGGCCAAGTGCGTAGCCCCTTGACTTGAGTTACAACTGGCTGAAGTTTCAGCCGGCAGTCGTATAAAAATGCACGACCACCTGCGAAATCCTGCCGGCCGTCCGCGTTATTAAATCTAATCGGGTCTTTCTCTCCATTGGTCGCACATGCCACACTTGTCCCTTCGTTTTTTTGTTTCATTCAATAATTCCTGAAGGCAATTTCTTCTTGGTAATTAAACGGCACTTAGTTCAGTTCATTTCACTGTTTCTCCGTTTCTCTTTCTATCCCTGCAGAATCAGAACCGTATTCGGATCGTATGCAAGTAATCAGACTTGCATCCCTCGGAGTCAACTATTAGAGCGAGTTCTACTGATAACACTCCGAATTAAAGATCTATCTAATCTTCGATCAAACTATATTTGAAAAATAACATTAGGTAATTGTAAGTATTAAAATTCGTTTTTTATTCATTTTCATGGGTAAAAAGAATACCCATTAGTACAAAAAGTGATACAATTATAAAAATTTTAAATGTAATGAGGTACGAGACTGAGTGAAAAATTACAAGGAGGTTGTAATTATAATGAATACATTCTCTATCAGTCTACCTAAAGTTACCATGTTATCTCCGAATTATCCAAGCTTCAAATCACGTTCTAAAGACAGCGTATTCCAAGTAGAATGCTCCGTCCATCGTCAGACGGCATCACGCGATAACCATCATTCGTGTCACAGTGGTAGGAAGAAATTACTCCATGAAAAATTTAACTGATTAAGACACTAGCATTAAACATTCGTCACTAACCATTAAGAAACGTATCTCTGTTATAACGAAGGAATGCGCGATTATTGCACTGTAGCGAACGGGCCTTGTCCACGATCGGTGATTTGTTATAAAAATCAGAGTATCAACCGCGAAATACTGAACATTAAAATACCGAAGTTCGACGAGGTACAAAAACTAATTTTCACCGCTCAACTGGCGCAACTTTATTGATTCTTCGGCCTTTTATCCACGATGTTATCTGAGAGGTCTTCTCAGAAGAGACAGACAACTTTAGTCATGATATTCACCCCGACAAATCCCCAATACTCTCCCGATCCAAAGCATCATTTCACCCGCGTCGACGTAAAATCTAGGGATTCGTGAGAGCGCGGAGCGTCGACCAGCGCGTTTGTATCGCGCAGAGGTGGGTATCAGCGCTGGGTCCAATTTAGCTGGGTCCGTTCCGATAAAGTCTCGCGTCCGGATCGTAGGCGTGCATGCACACGCGGCCGTGCACGCGTGCACGTATATATACGCAAACAGTACGCGAAACGTACGAGCGCACGCAGCAAGCGTGTTGTCCGACTTAATACACGAACTGGAGTTTCCATGGCGGAGTTTCTAAGGCGAGCGCACGCAGGCGAACACGCAAGCGCGCGGCCGCGGCCGGCGCTATAAATTCAAGTAATGACCGTTTATAGAAAATAATGGCGAGGCCGGCACGCATTTATCAGCCGCGTGCGTCTCCGGAATCTATTCGTTCATTCATGCGCCGCGGGATCGAGAAATAATTGAGTGGATCGCTCCTTCTTTCTCTCCGCGCCGCTTTCTGTTCCGGCGATCCGCGCCGTGTTCGCTTTCGACCGTGCGGGCGCACGCGCGCGTTATAAAAGGGGCCCAGGCGAGGGCATTATCGAGCGCACGGGAAAAGGATAGCCGCGCGGTTCGAACTTTCGTTCCCCGCTCACGTTTTATGGAGTAAATTAATAGTTTTAATGAGCTATAAATTACACGGGATACACATGGCGCTATAACTGAGAATGGAACGTACGTCGGCGAAAAATTAAATTGATATTGCTCCGAGAGAGTTTCTGTTATTTCTGCTTCCGTTCTCAGAAAACGGGGGGGATAAAGGTTCGACGGACCTCGCGTCGAGAAAGTTACACAGTTAAAACTGAGCGAATGATCACTCTTATTTATTTATTCCAGATGTATAAACATTTTATGAATAAAAAATTGAAATACGAATATTTTAAATATATTTATGTTTACTCAAAATTACATTTTTGGACGAACTTTAATGAATTTTCTTCAATGAATCCGTTTAGTTATGATTTCTCTTTTTCTTTTATATTCTCTATTAAGCATTAAGCAGGACAACATTTTTCGACTTTGGATCTAATCAGGTATCTTAACCCCTAAAAGTGCATAAAAGACTGTAATAAATTATTAGAGTAAATCGTATCAATCATTTAATAACTGTGATTCACAACTGTGCATCTCAGCTCTTCAAATAATATTAATTATCAGACTGCGGATTTTTATCTGAATTGGTATCTCCCTAAAAATGATTCAAAAGAATCTGGATATTGTAATAAATGTATTTTGAATATTTTACATATTCTATGTATCTTTGTGCTTTAAAAATTTCCACAAATGCATAAATATTTGCAGTCTATTAACTGCTTCAAGTAATATTAATTATTAAACTGCGGATTTTTATATAAATTCACGTTTCTGTGAAAATGATTAGAAAGATAGAGCCTAGATATTACAACAGACACTATGTATTTTAAATTAAATTAAATGTATAAAAATGTTTATACATTCCTTGTATCTTAAATATTTACACTGTATTTCAAATATTTTGTATATCTAACTACTTCAAATGACATTAATTCATCATCAGGCTGCGAATTTTTATACAAATTCCTGTGAAAATAATTAAAAAGATAGAACCTAGATAACACAACAGATACTGTGTTTTGAATATTTTACATAATCTATGCATCTTTGTACCTTAAAAATTATTTTGCCGTCTGTCAACCGCCATCAGAACTTCAACTTACAAATTCATCACAGCCCTGTGTATATTGCCGATCCTCTCGTCCTCGTGCTATTCTCGGCGCTTATGACAACGGGGGGAGGAACGCGATTCGCCAGCTGGTCTGGCAACGGCGTCGGCGGAGAGCGGATACCGGCGTCAGATGGAAATCGATGCGGAATCAGGCTGAATCTCCATTTACGTCTCACTCACCACACCGTCTAGGTATATCCGCGGCGAGATTTCCGCGATTATTTATTCACGCTGCGCGCACCGACAGACCACATGGTCCAGCGAGGGTCTGCAACCCCACCAGTGCTGGTCTTCCAACCGCCCACGCTCGTCCACGGACGTGCACACATGCACAATTTATGCGAAGAATTCCGCTCGCGCAGCTGCACGCTGTCTCGCGGCCGAGATATCCGGATTCCAGTTGGCGGAAATACGAACGAGACCGGCGATACCCGCTGGTACGCCACATCTTCCGGTTTTCGACGCGTGTCTCACACTCGCCGCGCGGTAATTCGACGATCGAAGTCGGAGACGTTCTTGGAAACTGTCGAAAGCGCGTACACTGGTTTCCACGCGTTGGAGAATTTTTTTAGTAGGTACAAGCTGTTTTGAAATCTTTTGAAATTTTACTGGCATTAGATGTATGTATGTATAATAAACATATAATTTGGTAAATTATATATACTATATTTATAATTTGTGTAATAAACACATAATTTAGTAAATTATATATACTATATTTATAATTTGTGTAATAAACACAGAATTTAGTAAATTATATATACTATATTTATAATTTATATAATAAACACATAATTTAGTAAATTATATATACTATATTTACAATTTGTGTAATA